AGTCGTCGTGGTTCTTTTCACACTAATCTTTGACCACCGATGATTCATCTCGGGCGACTCGTACACTTCCTAATTGGAGCGGTTGATTAAGGGCCGTATTTAAGGTTATCGGTTCGTCTTTCCCGTTTCTCCCTTACTATGCTACAGAGTGCTTCTGCTCCCGTTTTCACCAAAGAACTAAATTATCGTGCCAGTTGCCTATAAATAGGAGCACAAGGAGTAACTTTGATGTTTAAGGAAGGGTTCGTGGATCAATACATCAAAGAGACGAATCTCACCACTACTAACTATGGATCCACCTACGATTATGGTAGTATTATGCACTATGGAGCGTCCAGGTTCGGTTGAATTTTAACTACTTTTGCTTAGGTTGAGTTATTGTAAGGTAGACGAGTTTTTCAGTGCTTCTCGCAACACATTGCCTACAATGATAGCCAACGACACCAATTATCAAGAATCAATGGGCTCCTATATCCTCTCCTTCATTGACAAATCGATGATCAACGACCATTACAACTGCAAAGGTAGGATGAACGTGTTTTTCTGCTCACGATGAAGAGCTGAAAGGGATTGCTATTCAGAAATGTGTCCGAACGATACCTCAGCTCGGTGCGAGAATGGTGGATTCCCCCACCCAAGAAACTGTTCAGAATGCATCTGCCCAAGTGGTTATGGCGGGGCTCTTTGCGACCAAAAGGTAACGCATTGGTTTTTAAATAGTAGAGTTCACCGTTGAAGTCACTTTTTCAGCCAGATGGATGTGGAGAAGTGTTGGCAGCGAATGTTACCACACAACTCCTCATAAGATGAACTCGGCTTCAATTCGACCGGCGTCAGAGAAGACTTTGAGTTCTGCAACTACTGGATCCAAGTATGTGATGTTACTCACTTGTCGTATTTTCTTGGAAAATTCAATCTCTCTCAGGCTCCCGAAGGGAAAAAGATTGAAGTCACAGTCAAATCCATTTCTCATGGCTACGGTAATGATGGATGTACTCTGGGAGGCGTTGAAATCAAAACCAGTGAAGACCAAATCCGAACAGGATACCGGTGAGTTGGGTATCAAAACCACGGTCTTTCTCATAAGTAACTTGACTTGCAGGTTCTGCTCATCAAAACATAACAACACTGTGCTAATTTCGGCCTCTAATCGTGTGCCTGTGATCACGTTCAACAGATATGATCAGCATGAGATCATCTTGGAGTATAAGATTGCTTCATAAACATTCACTTCGCCTCGAATTACAGTTGTGATCCCTGAAAGTGAGAGGGCGTGTGGCGAGGCGTGAACTGGAGCGTAGCCAAGACGGCTTTCTTCACCAATAACATTCTGACTACGCAGTGGCTGCAGGGAACCCTGCCCTGGCTGTGCTCCAGTTCACTCCCCGTCACACGCTTTATCGTTTGTAAGGGTCGTGACCTATATGCTTCGGAATAAACGTGAATCTACAGTCAAGTGTTTCCTAACAGAAATGTGCTTGAAGGGTTGCCACCCGATTTCACGGAAACTACAACAGGGATCGCCACTTTAGAAACCTGCTTCACCTATTCCATAATCTTCAGTCATGGTCTTGTGTACGACAGCAAACTCGGTAGAGTTCATCACGGTAGCCTCAGCCAGGGAACTGCCCATTTTGCACAAGCTACAACATTGTCTAGGGAGTCCCATCAGGGTTCATAACTGGGTATTTAATCGGTAAGGAGGGGGTCACATCTGGTCTCGAGAGGGATTGTTGGTAATGATGACGGTTGATGAGAAGACTCTTCTACCTCCTTCCCTTCCAGCTCGACGCCATTTTATGGGAGAAAGTAGTAAATTCTCTTTGGGAGACTAGTTGGGGTGGGGATTTCGTGGGACCATACACATCCCCGTGCTGTACCCTGATTTTGCTTAAATTTTGTGCGCGGAGTCAGCCACAATTCTGGCCCCATTAGAGTGTCCATCCTTTTCACTACAGAATAAGAAAGAGGGTTCTCTATTAAGAAAATCACCATTGTTGGCTCGACACCAAGAGAAGGATGTACCCTTGAGTCAAGCTGTTACTTTGGAAACTGGAGAGGTGACTGCAGTAAAATTTTATCCATCTCCAATTATTACTCAAAAAGTATGGCAGAATGCAACTGCCCTTGGCGGAATCTCAGCCGTCATTTGTATGCCCGCAGAACCTTACCCTTTATCTGGCCTATCCTTAAAACCGTTCAGGCTTTTGAAACGAATTTATTTTTATTTTTGGCTGAATTCCGCCAATACTTTCTTCCTGGCGGAAGCTGGATTTCCTCAACATGAATATCGCACTAGCTCAGCCTGGAAACGATTGAAACGTGCGCTACGGTCACCAATACGTGGAACGCTTGGCGCCAGTGGGCGGACACTACACACTTTCGCTTCAAAGACCTGATACTCGTGATCAGGAGTCAAATTACTTCAGAGAAATATGTTTTAGCTAAATATACCCCATAACGAAATTTGCGATCGAAATCTGGCCTGAACTTCGAAGGGTGAGGCAATAAAAAAGTAAAATGCCCTCACGTTTTTCCTCATACCACTGTAATCGTCTCCTGTACCTGCAACTCACCACTCGAAAAGAATTCTTGACTTGAACAAATCCTGGGCTGATGGGCTGCTCTGATATTTCTCTTGTAGTTTCACTAGCCTTTTTCAACGTTCAGGTGGTAGGCTGATAAGAGAAATGATCGAAAACCATCTTCGTCTATGGGCAATTGCCAGACGTGGTGCAGCTTTGAAGTTTGAGCAACTTTGATTGCTAAAAGGTACTGGTGACTTGTTCGCCATGTAAGAAACCCAAATTTCAAAATTCGATGAACTGAATCATCTATGGAGTGCTTTATATTTGGGGTAGGACGTAGATGCGCAGCAACTGCTAAACCTACCGTAATGTTGGGCGCCGGTGCATCTTGGCCAGTGCCTTGGAGGAAACAGGACACGGTATAGCTCTATGTAGAATTCTGTAAAATGTGATCCCCCTTGTCAACATTTCTCCTTCTTTTTACTCTTTGCAACGCAGTTTACTGAACTTTACCTTTACTTATATGCTCACGGACTCACTTAAATGAATTTACCGACGTTGATAAGATTTACCGTCAAGCAGGGATCCTTCCGATCAACTACCCAAACGCTACCGTACCCTGCTGAGAAGTTGGCTGCATAGTGGTTCGGAGGGATGGGAGCTGATACATCAGTCAATGGGGAAGATCTTCCCGTGTGTGGAAACACTTACATCCCCTCTCATGTAGACAAAAATACAGCCTCCCTATATGCCGTTCTGCCAATGATGGGCGTCTATAAGAGAAAAATTCAACTGCCGAAAAAATTTCTAGAGGGCAACTACGATTTCTCGAGGCCCACCCCGGTGCTAGTTTACGGCCCACCTCAAGGCATCCGTTGTGTACTTCACAGGGGTGCTGTACCTTGAGTGGGAAGCCCTGCCATAAAATGGCTTTTGATGTCCTCATCTACTGGCAAAAGTTATGCTGTATATCCTAGTGTAATCTGGCGTGGAAAATGCCGTAGATCTCAAAATTTGCTTTTTCTCTCGTAGGCACGATTCGGCATGAAGCTCGTTAAGTGGCACGCCACATTCCGTTAATGATTAGCCAAATCAACTAATGACCTGATGAGGTGACATGGGCGCTGTGATTCGTTCTCGCTTACACTCACATCCAACCGCTATGCATCTGATAATGATTTTAGTACAATGGCCTCATCCACGCTGAATTATAGATCTAACTATTGCCAATGTGAGTATCTGAAAAAAAAGCAGGACAGCATTATTGGGGATCAGCATCCTCAGTACCTCGAATTATGTCCGGCATGGTCTTGCATCACATAGTTTCATACCGGATCTTTTCAAGCCAAGTGGGTCCCAGGCCCCTGGTAGAGTTCTTCCCTCCATAGTGGCATAGGAGCTTACTTCGCGACCTTCACGTACTTCATCTTGATTCCATAAGTTTTCTTTTCAAGCCAAGTGGGTCCCAGGCCCCTGGTAGAGTTCTCCCCTCCATAGTGCCATAGGAACTTACTTCGCGACCTTCACGTACTTCATCTTGATTCCATACATTCAGTAACTTCATCTGCGGTAGTGGATGGTGGCGCACATGTAGAGTCTAGTTCACCGTGGTTGCTGGGGCGTGTCAGGGGAGCTGGGTTTGGCACCAGCCGAGTTCCCACCGATTGCTGTCGTTTTCTCCCTTCGACAATTGGCTGTTGCGCCAAATCTTGCATCCAGAAATGCCCTCGCATCCCAGCGAACGGGACTACAACTCGTCTTATGAGCTGCAAGTTGAGCTTGAGCTCGAGATCAACGGGCCGACTCTTTCAGCGACTCACCTGTCATTCCTCTTTCTTTTTTGAATCGATCCGTCAGGAACATTTCGTGAGCATAAACTCGAAATCCGTGGGCGTGGCTGCGTATGTAGTTCAGCTGAACGTTGCAGTTGCCAAGGTTTTCGTGAGATATTTTCATTCTGGGACAGTTGTGAATATGTTTTTGTCCAACAAAGAACTAGAGGACACTTGTCTCGAATTGGAAATATCCCACGAGTAACCCATCCTATGCCATGTCCAACTTCTACGAATGCTACGTCTCAGAAATAAGGAGTATAACTCAGCGTCAAAGGCC